TTGTCAACTCTTTTCACAATTTGTATATAAATATTTTCGTTATTTTATTTGCTAAAAAAAGGTTTACTTATATATTTTTTTTATTTAATATAAAATTTGAATGCATACATAATAATACATGATACAAATTCTTTTTTTAATTAAGTGTTTCGTTATGTTGTAAATAATATTTTAATATTTTATAGATACTAATACATTCATTTATTTATTTTACTATTTATAAAAGTTAAAATTCTTATAATTTTAAATTATTAATTGAATTATTTTATTATGTTATGCCGATGAATAACATATTGCAAAATACACAAACAACCTCCACTCGTGGTCGTGGACGAACTAGTCGTGGAGGATCATCGAACCGTGCTAGTGGTTCAAAAAGGGCCGGTGCAAGATTATCAAATCGTGGTGTTGGTATAAGTGATGATGGTCGAACACAAAATGTATGTAACAATCATCTATTTTTGTTAGATTATATATTATTTTAGAGATTAATAGTAAAATTTAATTTTGCAATATTTTTAAATGTAAGTTAGCATAAATGGACGCCTAGAACTTCTTCTTGAACTTATAATCGCTGAATTAAAAGCAGAACACTATACGGTTACACTACCGTTAGATCCAGGCAAATGAAGAATTGAAGAAAATTTGAGAAGGCATACTTGATTATTTGAGAAGGTTGTGGTACTACAACAATATATTAATCAATAGTACATTTGTATCAGTTGTGGACAAAAAAATTGATATGTTACCAGCATGGTGGGAAGACCGATGCGCGGTAATTTAAATTTTAGTTGTTTATAATTTTTCATATTTTTGTTTATTTATTAATTTTAAATTATTAATAAAACATGATTACCATTTATTGATAATTATTAATATTCTAATATATACATAATATTATATCTTCTTTTCAGGAAGTCGGACTAAGCAATCGTAAATATATAACCGTCTTGCAAAATAATCCACTTCCATTCAAAACTTTACTTGATCAAATCTGTGGTGAACACGATGTGGAGCAAGATGATCGTTATTCACCACACATGCTTGGAGTTTCATTTCTGCAATACGGATAATGAAGAAAGAAACTATGATGATGTAGTTGAAGGTGAAACCGAAGAATATGGCGGAACCTCATTTTATCAAGAGAATCTTAATCTAACTGCATCTGATGATGATTTGCCTTCTCGATCACAAATTCGTTCTACCAGAGAGGCAACTCGACATTCTCCATATATTATTCGGAGGTCGTCTTCACGTGGACGTAGCACATCTTCACAACGTACTCATATGAGAAGATCCAATTTTGAGGCACAAATTGATGGAAGATTTCAACGTATGGAAGAATCTCGAGGACAATTACTGGATGTGGTTCGTTCACGGCAAAGTCCAAAACCAATGTATGGTGATGCACTTGTCGTATTAGAGTCTTTACCTATCAAGCCAATGAAAACATTCTGGTGGGAGGCGAACAAGATATCATCTCCAACAATTTGCAAATGGTCAACCACCTCGAAACAGCAAGAAAATGTATAATAGGTGGCATGCATCCTTACGTTCTGTTATCGAACGAATATTTGGCGTTTGGAAGAAAAAAATGGAGGGTGCTCAATGAATTTCCTAGGTATGACATTGCCACACAGAGAAGTGTTATATCTGCTATAATGGGTTTACATAATTTTATTCGCCAGCACAATATTTAAGACTCCGACTTTGATAATATTAACTTTGAAGATGATGGTGGGCAAGCATAACATATTGAGAACGACAACGATGACAGAAATGATGGTGTGAGAATTGAAGAAGAATTAGAGGCATGAATATATATGCGGATAGTTCGTGATCAAATTGCTGAACGGATGTGGTTAGATAATCAACGTGGAACTCGACGTCGTCGCCGTTAAAGTAAATATAAGAATTGTAATTTTTATAATAAAAATTATATTTTTTTATAATAAAAATTATTTTATAGTTCTATTAATGTAGATATCTGTGATTTACA